TTAACGCGGAGAATGGGCCTAGGCCGCAAAGACAGGTGCTCCACGACCATGCGCAAGTTGCCCTGTCTGCAGGACAAAGACCCGGACATGCAGGACCTCCTGAAGGAGCTGCAGGCCCAATCGCAGGTTTGGAGCTGGAGCTGGGGGGCTGCAGGAGCAGGGGGTCAGGCCTCAGGCGATTGAGGGCGCCAGGTGGGCCCGGTGAGGCAGAATCGTCTCTCCAGGTATGAGACACCTGTGGACAAACTCGGTAGCTACTTGTTTCTAATTGTAGAACAGCAAATTTTAAATCCAACGAGGAAAAGGAGGAGAGGTCCTCATATAGAGTCACGCTGTGCCAGAGCCCGTTAAGTCCCTTTATTCTCCACCTTAACTGGACAGTGGCTGAGGGCTCAGAAAGCCAAAGCCTGAACCATTCCGTATTTTTGCAAAAGGAGTTTTATTCTGGGCATCCAGGAGCAGGGCAGAGCAAGGGGTTCTTAGACAGCCTTCTCCTCTGCTGCCATTTGAAAGGGGTGTAAAGAAGACACAAGGGGCTTGTGCAGCAGGGGTACCCCAACTGCTGCAGTTAGCTGTTGACCCTTTTGCCCTGGAAGGCTTCCTTGTTTCTTACCTGACCTTAAGGACCACTAGGTGGTTTCTGTGGGTTTAAGTGTTGCAGATTACCTCACCAAAGGAAGAGAGTTTGGGGATAGGAGGTGACCAGCCCTACACTTTGCCTGCAGCATCTTCTTTTACATCTCACAGCCACTCTGTAGAGAGAATACAAGGAGTCAGCCAGAAGAAGCAGAATTGTTGCAATAAAGTGGGTCTGGCTGTAAAGCTCCACCCCTCACTAGTAAAGTTCAGTGGATTTTGGAAAGTAATGCTGGTATTTCTCCTTAGGTTTGCTGGTATTTCCTATTTTGAGTTCCAATTCTCTCAGGATTTCTGCAGTGACTGTAATATAATTGACTCATCCAGCAAGCAGCTGTACATGTACAAAGAAGGGGGTTCTGGAGGTCATGCCACTCCTTTTTCTTAAGGGATTAAGGCATAACTAACTCAAACTTTATATGTAAGAACCCTCTAAAAGTTTCTTAAAGAAGATGAGGCTAAACTCATATTGTAACAGATACAGGTTTCATGGACTCCGCCCCTACTCCAGATGCTGGAACTCCAAATCCCATCAGTACCAAGAAGAAGCATGCCGGGACGTGAGGGCGGAGCTGAGCAGCCAGGTTGGGATAAAACTGGACATGTGGCCTCTGGGGGGACCTGGTGGTTCGCAGCTGATCGTTTTGGCGCTCAATCGGGGTTTTCAGCTGCCGGTGGAGTCCAAGTCAGCAGAACTGGTAGGACATCCTAGTTAACCTGTGTTTCTCTGCCTCTTTTCCTGGGTTACTCCTTTACCTTTCTCCTTATAAATAAATCCATTATTTAACCTTTTGAGTGTGTCCATAATACGATTGAATCGTAAGCGCATGGGTGAAGACCCACAGACAGGCAACCCAATTCACATTGGGGTACCCTGTAACACTGTTCTGTTTTGTTTTCCAAAGGTGGCTGGCTGGGGCCTGATAGCGCTGGCTGTCATTGGCCTTATGGTTGGTACATCTATTCATTATTGCAGATCTCCAGTTAGTTTTATGCAGCTGAAATTTTGGAAAATCTCTATGAAGCAGGAGTGTGAGAAGTTTACAAGAGAAGCCACAAGTAATGCAGCTAAATTGGCAGAGATGAATATTAAATGTTTCTTTGAGCACTCACTTCCAAAATACAAGAACATTCCAAACTGTCAAGACTGGCAGCAGATTTCACCACTATATACTTGGAATTTACATGAACAATATTATAGCATGTTGCACAAATATGTTTGCCTAGGAATGAGTAACAGGCCCTTTTCTGAAGGAAATGAAGTGACTGCTACTACTTTAGGCTTTGTAGATGCTGTGTGACCTTATGAATGAATAAGAAAAAAGTTCTTTTGAGATTCATTTGAAAAAAATTCTGTTTTCTGAGTGCTTTTTTTTTTAAAGATTTATTTATTTATTTGTACAGAACTGGGGTACAGGCCAGAGATGCGGAGGGTGAAAGGATTCACCAGAGACAGAGTGGTGAGCAGAACAGGCAGATCGGCGAAGTATACTGCTGAGGGGAGCAGCAGGCGGGTCAGGAGAGGTCTGCTGCGCCATGTGGACCTCCTCCAGGGCAGCTGGGGATCGAACTCATGTGGAAGTGGCTTTAGCTTCTTTGTGCTGTGCTTTAACCCACTGCACCACCAGGGAGGGCCTTTTTTTTTTTTTTTAATCTTTCAAATTTTGGAAATTGAACTTTCTATTTGAAATACTTAGAAATTTACCTGGCATTTTGTAACTCCAATATGGTTACTAAACAACAATATGAAAATTAGTCATGAAGTTTTTTTTTTTAATTGAAAAAATAGTTTAAGATAATTATAGGCAACAACTGTTATTTTTAGTGTGTAATATTAAGGGAGAATGTAAAGTTGTTTATTGGGTAAATTTCAAACATGCTCCCACATAGAAAAAATACTATTATGAATTCCCATGTAGGCACTACACAGGGGCATTTGAGGATGTCAGATAAAACCCCTGCTGTACAAATAAATACAGAAATAGAAACTACATGAGGGGAGAAGGAGGGTGGAGAAGTCAGTGAAAAGCTGATGTCTGTAGAGTAGAGCATTTTTGGAATACTATGTGTGACTGAGTTGGAAGCATGAAAGATGACTGGAAAGTAGAGCAAGAGAAAAAACGGTCATGCACAGGATATTGGTTTTCATTCTATGGACATTTTAGGAGAATTGATCTACTTTTCCTGTGGATAAGAGATGACGGGGGAAGGGAGAATATCAAGGCACAATGGAGAGAAAATCAGGACGTCGTTGTAGTGGAAATAGGTAGGGTAAAACTGAACTGATTGGTGGTGATGAAACGGAAACAGTAGAGAGAGTCAGGCAGCTTTTGAAGTGGATCATTTCACAATTTGTTGATGGAAAGGATGCAATTAATTTATTGAGAACAATGATTTCTGTAGAAAAAATTCTTTTACTTGATAATTTAAGGATCTCGGGGATATTAGATGTCATTCTTGTTCATTCCCCAAATTTATGGCTGTTTTTATGAAATTTGAAAAGTAAGATATACCTCATGCTTACCATGGTACTTGGCTTAATTATCAGGTATAATTCCCCTTGCCTGTCTCTCTTCACCCCTTAGGGAACAAAGCAATAATAAAATGCTATAGACTGGGTGTTTGTAAACTGCAGAAATTTATTTCTCACCTTTTTTTGTAGGCTGGTAAGCCCATGATCAAGTCACCAAGGGTTTGATGACTGCCAAGGCCCTGCTTCCTGGACGCTTGTCTTCATTGTAATTACAGAAGGTAGCGGTGGAACCTTTTCTGTTAGACACCATTCCTGTTTGTAAGGGCTCTGCCTTCATGACCTAATCACTTCCCAAAGGCCCATTCCTAAATATCATCATATTGGGTATTAGGTTTCGGCATAAGAATTTGGAGAAGACACAAATATTCTCCATAGCACTGTCACTCAAAAGTCATTAACCTCTACCTGCTCCCCATTCCACCCTATCTATCATTACTTTTCAGTATTTTTAAAAAGATTTATTTATTTATGTACATGTAACAACTGGGGTACAGACCACAAGTGTGGGGTGGTGGTGAGAAGATTCAGTAGAGACAGGGTAGGGAACAGAATGTGGGATTAACTGAAAAACTGCTGAGGGAAGCAGCGGGTGAGGCAGGAGAGGTCTGTTGTGCCATGTGGGTCAACTCCCCCATGCCAGAGATTGAAATCTGGCTGCAGTGGCTTTGAATAGTGCTGTGCTTAACCCCTTGTGCCACCAGGGAGACCCCTTTTCAGTATTATCCAACATATAATTGCTATTTTAATCAAGTTTTGTAGCCTATCTACCATACCAGTTAAATTGCATAAACGTCTGTTACAAGTTTTCTATCAACTGATTCTCTTTTCTGTTATTCTTCCAGTGTTGTGTTTGGGATTTATTTTTGCCCTGCTTACACTTTAATAGTTAACCTGTAAATGTGTCAGGGAAGCTGTCCAAAGAGATGAAATTTCTGGACCACTGACAATGCTGTTTTAATCACAGCAGAGTAAACAGCACAAGCAGCATGTTTCCATTGATTCCCTTTACCCTGCAATCCTATAGGATATCTATTTACAGGGTGGACTGCATTATTGGAGAGAACACAGAGCATCATTACCACCATTTTGTAGCCAGTAGTAATTAAGTTTACGCTTTGTCAAAGATCATTTTACCTGCCAATGTTGTTTGCTGCAATACATCCCTGAGAATGCCCTAGGTTAAAAGCAGTCAAGGACTTACATTCTTGGCACACTACTAACACATAAAAGAGCATGAGAGACCCATGGAAGATATTCTCTCAACACATATTCCATCCTTCAAGCCACATTTCAAACCACTTTTCCTCCTCAATACCTTTCCAACTACAGCAACCCACAGGAACTTTTCTTCTCTCAACTCTTAGGACTTGATGCACAAATTCACTATGGCACTAGATCATGTGTCTCTTTGTAGCATTAAAACTGCGTGTTTTCTCTTCTTAGGGTGATTTTATGCCTTCTAGAGAACTTTTGAAAAAATCTCATAATTGCCACAAAACAAACAATAAAAATCATGAAACAAGTGAGGAAGATTAAATATTTACTATATAGTATACTAAGAAGAAAATTTTTTAAAGTGTGACAAACATTCCTTAAAATTATAATTACAACGTATATAATTGTAGATAATAGATTCATAATCAGAGGCTCCATTTTGGCAGATGTATTATCATTGAGAACTGAGACCTGAGGCCATATTTTCTATGTCAGGTGACTTGTTTTGTTATTTGTAAAACTTTGTATATGGCACTGCATTCTGAAACGCAGATCACAGCATAAGAAAAACAATTTAAAATGTATTCAATGTTTTTCCAACATACATAAAGAAACAAAATTTAAAGGATTTCTTCATTTGAGAAGTACTAACCAACATCTTGGGATATCAATTCTACAGAATAGTTTGGGAAACAGTATTTAGGAAATCAGAGGTAGATAGAAAATCAACTGTTGTTTGGCTTCGCAATATTCTTAAATCACGTTGCCGCTTGAAAAGAGTAATAAACTGCAGTCCGATACATGCTCAAGCTGTGGGGCAACATTTTTCAATGACTGAGCAAGAGCAACTAGATGGATTCATGAAAACATGGTTTATTTCATGGAGACCAGATCATTATGTGTCTAGGCGTCTTTGAAGATACTTAAAAGTAGTTGGAGAAGGGGCAGTCGTGCAGCAGATCAAAACCAAATGTTTTTCCTCTAAAAACTTAAAGTAGTTCTAACTCCTTCCTCAGTTCCCAGAGCTGTTCAAGGTTTCAAGTTGATGAGTCAACTGTTCCGATTAAATTAAATTGCAATCTAAAACTAAGGAGACCACATTTTTAAAACTTTAAATCTGCTTGCTACTATCCATAACAATAGCATGACACAATTTTTCCAACACATTTATTCCAGCTAGAGATCAACTCTCCTCATAGATGTTTGGTGAAACTCTCTGTAATAAATTTTATTTTCTTAAATCTAACCCTTCATTCCAGGTCTTTCATATTTTCATTCTTCTTCTTCTTCTTTTTAAGATTTATTTATTTATGCATACAGAGCTGGTGTACAGGCCGGAGGTTCAGGGGTGGTGAGAGGTTTCACCAGAGACAGAGTGGGGAGCGGAACAAGGAAGCAGATCGAGAAAGCACACCGCTGAGGAGAGCAACCGGTGAGATAGGAGGGGTCTGCTGTGCCACGTGGATCACCTCTGGGTGGGACTCGAACTTGCATTGAAGTGGCTGCAGCTAGCTTGCAGTGCTGCGCTTTAAGCCACTGTGCCACCAGGGAGGGCCATATTTCCATTCTAATTAGAGATCTAACACAATTTGTATTTATTAAAAATACTGCTTGGTAAATATAATTGTCAGTGAGAAACCACTGAAAATAATACCCATTGCTAAAATTATTAGCTTGAAAGTATATAGTCACCCACAATAAAAACAAAGGGATCATTTTTAGTAGTATAATGCAACTAGAAAACAGGAGACAAGGAAAAGGCAGCACAAGTTTTGGAAGTTGGAAAGCAGATTGTAAATAATTTTCCTAATAGACCTGAGAAATATGAATCTCAAGTTAGAAGGAGAAAGATAAATATATGATTTGTATAATGGAATCTATAAGAGACTCAGGAATTAGTGGCACTAGTCTCCTCTGGAAATGAGACTGGAGGAGGAGCTCAAAACAGGATTGGCTCAAAACTTGTTTAAGAATTGGTCCCTTACCACATGGCGCGGCAGACCTCTCCTGACCCGCCTGCTGCTCCCCTCAGCAGTGTACTTCATCAGTCGGCCTGTTCTGTTCCACACTCTGTCTCTGGTGAATCCTCTCACCACCCCTGTACCTCTGGCCGGTACCCCATTTCTGTATGAATAAATAAATAAAATCTTTAAAAAAAAAAAAAAGAATTGGTCCCTTAGAACTCTGTTCCCTTTCCAAGTAGTGGGCAACAGCTTCTTCCTACCTAGCAAATAAATAAATAAATAAATTTGGTAAATGGGAGTTTTAATCTCTAGATGTAGTTATCCAAAAGATTTTAAATGCAAGGACATTAGGCATAGCTGAAGGCATATACATATACATAGGAATTTTCATTTCTCCAGTCTTCTTACCTAGGCTGACTTCCAGAATTCTACATTCAGACTATGTTCTCCAAGCAGAATGTCAGAAGAGCCACAGCTAACGAATCTGACTGTCCCAGAAGAGATTTCAATAAGTAACTGACATAGAAGTTAAATAAATTGACATGCATTTATTTCAGTATTCATTCTATATGTTCTTTATACTCTACAGAATCATTATTTTATTTATATATTGATAAATCCATAATACATTATTTTATTTATATATTGATAAATCTATAATAAATTATACATGTTATTTATCTTTTCATGTAGATAAATATAGATAATGCACATACTCTCAATTAAATAAATGTTAGTTAGTTTACCAGTGGTTTGTGACTCCAGTTGGAAAAAACATTATCTGATACTTGTCACATGCCAAAGAGGTGTCTGCTGTTCTGCTTGATCTGTTCCACATCAATGTACAGGGTTAGGGTAAGTGTTCTGACATTTTCTTATTGATTCACTTTGTATTCTCAGCTCCTTTTCCAACCTTTTAAATTATGTGTGTTCTTTGCTTTCCAGTGAGAGAACTAAGATACAGGCAAATGTGAACTGTTTACACTGATATTCTTTTTTTTTTTTTATTTTTAAAGATTTATATATTCATTCATATAGAGCTGAGGTATAAGCCAGAGGTACAAGAGTAGTGTGAGGTGTCATCAGAGACAGAGCGGGGAGCAGAACAGGAAGATCAACGAAGTACACTGCTGAGGGGAGCAGCAGGCTGTCAGGAGAGGTCTGCCAGGCCATGTGGATCACCTCCAGGATGGGGATTGAACTCTTGCGGAAGTGGCTTTAGCTTCTTAGTGCTGTGCTTTAACCCGCTGCGCCACCAGGGAGGGCCCTACACTGATATTCTTTAGATTGCCAATTGATGAAACATTTCATTATTTCAAGAAACATGCATTTCCTCATAGCACACTTTTTCAATGTTGCAAAGTTATATTAACTAATAGATTCAGCTACTGACTGCCCTTGCATGGTTGCCAAAATCATAAGGTAGAAATACTTGTATCTTCTTCTAGGTACCTTTGATTGCTTTGATAAAAAAGATTAATAGAAGAAACAAATTTAATTTCTTCCATATGAAGGCCTCACATATACAGGACCTATAAAGGTGACCAGGTATTTACTTTTATACCTTTTTAGCAAAAAATAATTGAGAGAAAAATAAAGGTTAAAGATTACTGAGATGCTACAAAATTTGTTTATACATGCTTCTCAAGGCTAAGTTTACACAACTGAGTATTGATCTTACCCTTCTAACGTCATCGTAGCAGAACAGGGGGTGGAAATTTTTCCTGATTGCTTAGTTAGGATGGAGTCTGTGTGTAACACATCCTTGGATAGCTCATGAACACCACCAACCATGAATCTGAATTTGCATTGTGAGCTCCAAGTGATTATTGTGAGACCTTTACATAGAAGACTTGTTTTTATGTTTCACCTCTCAGTTTGTGGAGAGGGAACATTTTATGCATCGTTGAATGTTCTTTCCCCCTGTTTTTCCTTACTTTTTATCTTTTTTTTCCCCATCATCTCTTCCCTTTTTTTTTTTTTATGTTCAAGGTGAAGAAGACCCATTAAACCTTTGACTCTGGGAATTATAGAACAGTGCTGTATATTATAGTATTCACTAGCCACATATGACTATTAAATATTTACAATGTGAATGATGTGGCTGAAGAAATAAAATTTAAATTAACTTTAATTTTAATTAATTTAGATTAAAAAACTGAAGCCATTAAATACCGCTAAACGTTTTATTATTTTACCCTGACACATTTTATTATTTTGATAGCACTACATACATTTCACTGTTATCTTTGAAAATTTAATATTGTGTTGGGGAAAAGTATAAACCACACATTAGTTTTCAAAGTTAGTATTAAGAAAATAGTATCTCAATAATTTTTATGCTAACTGAATGTTGAAATATATTTTAGATAATTAGTCTAAATAAAATATATTATTAAAATTAATGCCACCTGGTTTTCCTTTTGTAATGTGACTGCTACAACATCTATAATTATGGACATCATAATTCTAATGAATAGCACTTTCTAGACTCACATTCAGGAAGGAGTGCCTCTAGAATATATACAAGTCACTCTCTGGGTAATAGAGGTCATCTTTCATAGCTTAAATTCAATGCCAAGAAAGTTGCCTCCCTCAAGAATGAGGGAGAAAAGGGGATGGGCAACAAACCTCAACCTGACTCTGTCACTGGTTCCAACACTCAACATCACAGAGAGTATCAAATTAAATTGCCTTCAGTATATGAAAAATAAGATTTTGACTAAGGAAGATTGGCTGGGGATGAGTGGGGAGGGAAAGGAGAGAAGACAGTTTGTAGGATACGCCAGGACATGAACATTCTTAAGGGGGCAAGTTGACTTTTGATTTAAGGGTCTTAGACATGAATATTTCAGATACCTGGGGATTGAGTATGTCATAAAGGAGAAAGAAAAAAATGATCAGAAAATAGAACATTTTAAAAAGAAGCTTTGAAGTGAATTTAGACAAATATTCTTTTGAAGTCATAATGCTAAGATGCATGGCTCCGTGATATCCCTTCTGTTATCAAATATATTATTTCAGGTTCTACTTCTGATCTTCTTGGAACTGGATTGAAATTTCTTCCATTGATGCTACAGACAGCTGCACCAGTGTACCTACATGGTCCTTAATAGCTCCCTCAATTTCCTGTTAAAGAGATAACTAGATAGATGGGGGGAACTGTGTTTTCTAAAGTTCCAAAGTATGAAATTTCAGTGGTTAATTATGTCATTTAAATTACTGATATAATTTTAGATACTTATCATGTTCAATCTTATTTTGCATATGAGGTATGTGTGATAGAGAGAGACAGAGAGAGAAAGAGAGAGAGATCATGTGCCTTTTATGGGCCTTGCCCAAGATCAACCACTATTTAGGAACAGCTGAAGCCACTAGAAACAGAACAAATAAATAAAAAGGCATCTTAGGGTGAACTATGAAATATGTGGGATTCATGCTTGCTGTCTTAGGAGTTATTTTCATGTGAAATCTCATAGGCATGAGATTGAAAATGTGATTTATGAGCAAAGGAAAAAGTAATAGTTTTACATTCTAGTGCTCTGCTGGATTTTTGATAGATTTATAAGCTTAACTTAGCAATTCAAAATATGGCTGTATATGTTTACAGAGTAGTATATGTTTACAGAGTATTAATTCCTCAACAACTTGTGGTATTCGACATGCTGTTCTTCACTTTTTCCGCCTGTATTTTTTCTCATCTAATTTTTTCAAAAATGTTATTCCTATTTCCGTCACACTGTCGCCTTTTAGTCTATCTTGTAAGAATGTAACATCGGCAGCCAAATGGACCTAGAACAGAAAATAAAAAGAAGAAAATCGGTTTGTGTAGTTCAGATCTTCCCAAAAAATTTTTCAAATTTTTCTTTTTTTAAGTTTGATTTGCCCTATAAGCACTTGACTATCCTTATAGAATAATCAGAAAAAAAACTTGTCTGTTGATGTGAGGCCCTTGATGGTGTCCTCCAGAGATGGTCTGTCTCTGGGTCAGCTCTGTGGCGTGAGTCTGCAGAGAGAAGGGCAGTGAGCTCAGTCCCAACTCAGGGCAAACACAAAGATGTGGACCCATTTTGTTCGCTTTGCAGCCCTCTTAAGAACACAAATTCCCAACTCAAAGAGAAACTTGACACTGCTTGCCTCACCAAGCAGAACTTCCAAGGATAAATGGATCCAGAACTTATTCTTAGCAAAGTAACTAAGTAACTTACTCTAAACTGTTTTGTCATTACCCAAATAACATCATCACGAGTCCTAACAACAGTTAATAATCACTTAAGGCTTTGAGAGCTTGCAACAGCTATCAACTAAATAAATCATAAATATAAAATTTAAGATCGAAATTACAGACATGAATATTTGATATCCAGACCTTCTCTTCCTCTCTAAAGCAGTTCTCATTCCCCAGACATTGAGATACTCTTAGGGCTTATTCTCTATTCACTAAAATGTATTTACATAAGAGCACTTTGATATGGCTAACTTATCCTCAACAGAGTATTTGTTCAGCTACTTGGAGTCTTTTATTTTTTTAAATTTATTTATTTATGCACACAAGAACTGGGTACAGCCCAGAAATGCAGGGAGTGAAAGGACTCACCAGACACAGAGTGGGGAACAGAACAGGTGGATTGACTGAAATACACTGCTGAGGGGAGCAATGGGCAGGTCAGGAGAGGTCTGCCACACCACGTGGGTCAGCTTCCTGGCTGGGGATTGAATTTGTGCTGCAGCGCCTGCGGACAGCCTCATAATGCTGAACTTTAATCCCTTGTGCTACCAGGGAGGCCCCTACTTGGAGTCTTTGGATTAAAAAGATAAATAAGCAAAGGAACTTACTAAAAACATAAAAATGCCTTGATTTAGTAGCAATCAACCAGTATTTACTGAATCTTACCTGACTCACTCCTCTCTCCTAGAATTCCTTAATTAACCAATCTGGAGATGTGAAATCATATATCTTTCTATGCCAAATTAACTGACTCACACAAGATGCAAAAATCAAGCCTTGGTGATATCCACTAACAATCAAAAGGATGTTGACTGAGTTTGGAAATCCAAAAGCTAAATTTGTCCCCACTTCCTCCTCTCCTCCAAGAAGACCTTGTCTTAGTTAATCTTTAACAGCAAAGGAAGATATTTTGAAGTTATTTGGATCTTTGGGGTTTACATGAGGTCTGAATCCTCAACATATCATTCAACATATTTTATCAATTATTATCCATAAAAGCTAGATATTTTCTTATCCTATTTTTAACTTGGTTTTATGATTCAGCCTATGAAACCCATAAGATCCCAGAACTTTTTCCTTTCCCTTTCTTGATTGCATTACCACTGCTTGTAGGACAAATCTAAAATAACATGGTAGGTTAAAAGCATGGAGGATCCATGCGAACAATACATTATTTCCACTGTTTTACTCTTTTGGATTGCCTGTTGTTATATCTTCCCCTTGATTGCCACAAATAATCAAAAATTATAACATACCCCTCATTTTTGGGTAGGTCAACTCCTATCTAGAGATTATGTATCACATAGTCCCACCATTTTTCATAGTAAAGTTTCTGGAAAAATGAGATTTTGCTGACTATTACTCTTCCTTTGACAAACTGTCTTCTTCTTCCTCCCACTCACTTTCCCAATACAGTTTTTTTTTAAATTTATTTATTTATGCACTGGGGTACAAATCAGAGGTGCAGGAGCAGTGAGAGCATTTAGCAGAGATATAGTAAGGAACAGAACAGGCAGATCAATGAGCACACTGCTGAGAGGAGCAGCGGGCGCGACAAGAGAGGTCTGCTGCGCCAAGTGGATCACCTCCCTGGCCAGGGATCGAACTCATGCTGAAGCGGCTGTGGCTAGCATCAGAGTGCTGTGCTTCAACCTGTTGCACCCCCACTACAGTTTTAACCAAGGTCTTTCCAGACATTCTGGTCTCTAAATGTTGCAAATGTTCTTCAGGTCTTTATTTAGCTTCCTACTGTTCTTAATCTTATATGAATCACTTCCTTTTGAAATACTTTTCTCTGTTTCTATGACTCAATTATTTCCTGGTATATTTTCTACCTCTGATTATTCCTTGTTATCCTTTGTAAGCTTTCAGTCTCTGTTTAACTTATTGTATTTTATGGCTTCCTCAATTTCCCCCTATTACTCCTTTTTCCTTTATACTGTCACCAGGCATCCTTTTACAGTTCCAATGCCTCCTCAGTCCACTGTCCTTGTGACTTTCAGGCATGTACAACTGGGTAGTAATATTGAAGTAAAAAATATCAGGCTGATTTTTTTGATTAGCTTGAAGTTGGTACCTAGCCTGTAAACTGAAAGTTTCGGGGAACAACTGATAAGCGTTATCAAGACCACATCCCAGCTGGTTGTATTGTATCCCTTGTGTTAGACAATAAATATTCTGTTGTCTAATTGGGGGCTCAGACTGTAGAGAGAGATCTCCTTGGGGCCTGCTGGTATAAATAAGGAGCTTCCCTCCTTCTCGCTGAGTGCTGCCTGGTTCCCTAATGAAAATCTGCCTTAACATTTTTGGTTTCCTGACCAGGAAGCTTGCTGTGCTAGCCCAGTGAGCCACTGGCCTAGAGTGAGGGAAGTGACTGTGACTCTCCCTGAAGAGAATGAGGTGGTGTCTTCTGTTTTTGTTTGACTGGCCCTCCTTCCGAGGGTGGGAGTCAGCCAGCCGCTGCCAGTGCACCCCAACTGGACTCCGGGGGAAAGGCAGACAGAAATGCCAGAGATTTCTTCAGGACAAGGCGAAACTCCTGGGGACCAGCCTGAGACAGTCCGGTCCCTATGGTTGGAGGGGAGCCTGATCACCATCCATATCCCATTTTGGGGACCAGTGAGGAACTCCTGGGGATAACCCCTGAACGACTGTTTTTCATTGGTGTGTGTGTGTGTGTGTGTGTGTGTGTGTGCGCGCGTGCGCGCAAAATATTGGTATGTGTACGCTGCCTTCGAGTTGCTCTCCAAAAGGAAAGTGGACTTTTCTTTTGTCCAACTTGAGATGCTGTTCTGATCCATTTCAGGAAAGTCTAGACTTAAGGTAAAAACTGCCGAGTTACTTTGGATTTGCTAACTTATTGGTTAAGTAAAACTTCTAAATTTTTTATTAGACCTGTTTAGTTTCTTATTGAAACTAATTATTTTGGTAAAAACTATAAAGTAAAATGCAACTTTCGTTGAGCTAAATTCCAAACCTCAGATTTCTGATAAGAGTCTAGGAATAGGCAAACTTAAAAGATCCTAATTTATGTCTTCTGTTCTCCTATCCAAGGTCCCTGAGAAAAAATGTCTGTTGTCTTAAAAATGTGCTTGGCCTCAATAAGCCAGAATAAAGACAATGTAAAGCCAAGAGATCTATTCTTAGAAATACAAACTCACAAATGTTTTCTTATCTAAGAAAGTTAGTAAAACTGCTTATCTTTAAAATTATTTGGTCTTGGGCCTTAGGTTTTTGGTGATGGTTAAAATTGGACCCTTATTTTATATA